CCTCTGAATTCCTGATGACAGGATCAGGTGGAACTTACTCTCACTGGGTCGGGCCCTTTAGAGCATCTCTCCGCCTCAGCAGGATCTTCTGCAGCTCGTCCTCGTCATTGTGGTTCGCCGAAGAAGGCGTGGCCTTTGATTGGTGGCGGGGTTTGTTGAAATTCTCCTGTGCAGGTTAAGCAGAGACGCGAGGAAAGTCTTGTTGTTTCAAACATGTTGTTAATGCTGCTACTTCTCATTCAATGTGATGTGACAGTGGTTTGCAAAAGTATTCAATCGCCTTTGGTAACACTTTGATTTTGTTGCCCTACAGCYTAGAGTTTACATGGTTTTAGTTTCATTTTAAATTTTTAATTTGCACAGAATGATAAAGTCAAAAAGTTTAAAATAATTCTAAAATATATAAAAGTAAGTAAAGGTGTCTTGGTACCAGGGTTTCCGCAAACCAAGTACKATTATTTTAGTTGAAGCACTCGCTGATACTGAGTGCCAATAATGACTTACTGACTTAGAACCTACATTACACAATGACGTTTAAAACACATTTCTTTATTTAGAACAATGTGTCTCTCCTTGCTTATAGGCCTACAGCCCTTATTACTGGATCAAATTAAATATAAAGCATGATACTGTTGCCACACATTCAAATAAATAAAAATAACAAGATTTTCTTTAAACTTGTATCAATTAAAGATGGAACTGACAATTTTTTACTTGAAATGTAAACTGTAACACATTCACTGTGTATTGATACCGCAATGATGATATAAACATGTATTGGTATCAGTCCTGAGTTTGAGGAGAAGTGGGGTCTCTGCAGTCACTAAGTAGGAGCTTCTTATTTTGTAGGAGGAGTTTATCCAAGACGTGATTGGTCAGATTGACGGTGGGGTTTGAAGGAWCTGGATGTAGCGGGGAGTAGCTTGGTCGAGTTGGGCAGGAAGTGTTTTATAAGATTAAGTTTAGTCATAACTTGAGAAAGGAAGGTGCTAGCTATACGAAATTTAAAGTCAATAAATTGTTTGCATGTTCACAATAATTTTTATTTGAGTCATTGTTCTGTTTWAAACTGTGCATTTTACTATTATCMTTACTTCCTCCTTTAAGTTGCCCCACACGACAAGTCAACCTGACCAATCATGGTTAGGGAAAACTCYRCCAATTACGATTAGCATCAACTACGCCCACATCAAGACCTATGCCAATCATGAGTAGGGTCATCCCAGCCCACAGGACAACATGTACTGCAGAGACCCCTACTTCAGTATTGGGCATTTTGTCTGAGTACTAATATTGCTGGTATTAAACAGATGTGATGGAAATAATACTTTTAGGTTTAAGCCAGTAATTCATGACATCCTTTAATGACCTAGGTTTTCATGACATGCTGTTCATCTGCAGAYAGAATGATTAAAGTCAGAACAAGATCTGCTAACAACTGTCATTCTTAGATATCACTTGTGTTTCTCTTTGTGTTTTCCCTCGACCCAGCATTTCCTTAGGATGAAATCTTGCATTATTAAGATGACATAACAGTGTTTGTTAAACAATGTATATGAGGCCCCAACTGCCCCGGAGAAGGAGAAGCAGAAGCAGGAGCAGAGAGCAGGGGACAGTCTGATGGCTCTATGTTGTTCTCTGTGTTCCTGTTGTTGCAATAAAACTCAGCTGATCATTCCACGGAGTACCTTCATTCTCGGACCACGTATTTCTGTCTTTGTTAMATAAATATTTCCATAACATAGAAACCTGCACAAAAACTGGGCACCACAAACTGTAATGCGTTGCTTGTATTTGTATTCACCCCATCTGCTTTGAAGCCCCAAGGATAATGTTCAGAAGCTGCATAATGTGTAAATAGTTAATTTATAGCCACATGTAGTAAATCAGCACCAGCTCAACACATCTAAGTTGTTCACACGACCCACCAAGCAAGGGGAAAATTGAAAAAAAAGGACCCAAGGGATCAATAAAGTTTTATCAGGTCAGAGACAAAGCTGTGAAGTACAAATCAGAGTTGGAATATAAAATAAATCCCAAAACCCTGAAGATCCCTCAGAACTTCATTAAACCTGCCAAGAGAGGGTCGACCACCAAACCTCATGCACTGAACAAGGAGGGCAAAGTCAACATAATCTGGCAACTAAAAAACTCAACCTGCCAAACCCTCTCATCAACCTTGGTTCACTTGTTGTTTTAGGGGTAGCCACTGGCTCCTGTATTCCCCATTCAACTTGATTAATTTAGCCTTTTTTGGTCAGATTGATATTCAGTTTAAAATCACAATTAAATTCCAACTTACAAATTACCAAGGGGGAGTGAATACTTCAAAATATCTTCTGCACACACATACAGTATATTCTCTAGCATGCTGTACTATCGTCTACTATGGTCTATTTTAACAGGGCAGCAGGGGGATTATTTAGTTTTTGATTATTTAAAATGATCTGAGCAGCTTTCAAAACTTTGGTTGAACTCTTTAGAAGAATATGCCTGTAAGCACATGTGTACAGTGTGAATTAATGTTTTCCTGACAGGAACCAACCAAGAAAGTTTGAAGAAGTAAAACATGACCTGTAAGTCCCATTACCATGATTCCTTTAAGTTCCTGAATGGCAGAATTAGACGGCAGCCTCTCCATCTGTTAAGAGGAAAATAGGAGGAGAAAATGGCTTCGGTAAATAAACAGCAGTCTGACACATTATACTTATTTTTCCTCATTTAGCACTTAGAAGGATAAACCGCATCTCGCACCACAAAGACAGAACATTGTAGTCAAGCATGGGGATGTATGCTTTCTACAAGAAGCAAATGTGTTAAGGTACAATCATTTTGAGTAATGGCAATTTTTCCATCCTCATTATTTATAATTACCTCGCAGAGCGGGCCCTAATGCTATCTAATTTGGCAGCGTTGTTAAGGCGGAGGAACAAGCTGACTAAAAGATGTCTTGACCGTTTGTCATGTTTTATCAAAACACGAAGCTCTCGGATAATCTGAAACACTGATGGGTTTAGGAGCACTGAAGAATATATGTTCAACAACGTGCTAAAATTAAATAAATAAAAAAAACTCTGTGAGGCCTGAGAACACGTCATATCTGCTGCTGGTGGTTTTTCTTCAGTGATTTTAGCTGAAAACATACTTTCTGCCACAATAATGCGTACCAATTACCCATCCCATGCCACCGTGCATGGCCCTCTCATGTCAAGCTTCAATGTTTTCTTCTGGCTCTACCCACGCTTTCAGGGCTGGTTTCCTTCAAACTTCAAACTTTACTTTCAATTTATTCAACGTTAAAAAAAACAAAACAAAAACATTTGAATTAAAACAGCTTTTTGATGAAAAAAGCAGGAACMGCTTTAACAGATTTGGGAGGTTTCTCTAATACAGAAGCTATAGTGCTGCAAAACTTCACTATTAGGGCAATAATTCTGTTTTTAGTAGTAGAATTTACACATTTTTCTGGGTTGTCAGTTTAAAATGATTCATAAAGCCTCAATTTAAAAAATGGTGATCCCCAGTGTCTTTTTCACCCAAGGGCAGCAGGAAGGTCAAACCTTGAGAAGAACATTATGTACGACCAAAAGCAAATTGCAAGATTTTATGCGCTCTACTAATGTTAAAACAAATCCTAATTAAGTTTCTGTAAAACCTGAGTTGTAGCCATTGTTGTCATTTCAGTTAGCTGTGGCAGCCATCTTGAATTGGGTTGACTCCAAAAGTTAATCTGTTCAATTATTCAGTATTCAACTACCCAGTATTTGTGCATCCGATCATTACTTTTTGATTGATCTGAAATGTTTCATAAAAATTCATCCAGTGGTTCATCAGATATTTTGCTAACAGACAATAAAAGGTTGTCACTAATAAATGTATTGAGGAACTCTAACTTTGTGTGTTTGTGTGTGTGTGTGTGGGGAGGCAGGGGTTGCTTGACTCATGGGAGCTTC